TTTCACTTGTTTACTGCTTTTAACTTACAAATCCCAAAACCTGGTGCCAAAATTTTCCTTTTGTTGTTGCTAGCAATGCCATAAATCACACAACAGTCACGTAAAGACTTGTGATTTGCTTAGATCATTAAATTATATGATGCCTTCAGGTGCATTCCAGGTAGAGAAATAGGTCCTCCAGTTTTAACCTGTGTAATAATGTTTTTCCAGTTGTATTAGTTTCATAGTCCGCTATTTTACCACAAGTAATGAGCTCTAATCTTCATTTCAGCTGTCATAATTATTTGTCTCTACCCTGTCTGGCCTCTTAAGACACGCTAGTGTTAAAATATGTAAACTGTAGCATAAGAAATTATTTATGCACCACCTGCTGCAACAATGCAGAGACGTAATCAAGTTTGTACTAGCAATACTGATGAATTACTTTAACGCACTAAAAAATATACATGTAGCATATTTGTTTTAACAATAGAAACAAAAGCCTAGACAAATGAACATCACGCAGATATTTAATAAAGTGAGATCAGTTTTTGGGTTTGTGACAAGAGAGCGCTGTTTTCAGGATGGAAAAAGTTTCATACGCAACTATGAGAGAGCAAAGAGAGTTGAAAAGATCTCTTATGCTTAAGAAGAGGTGAGGAAGGACACGTTTTTATGGGTATGTTCTTTTGAATGTGAGTGGCTGCTGCAGAAACAGAGCAATGAGTTTAACTGTTCTGTTCCAGAATCATCCAAAATTGGTCATGTGCAACATTAAGCACATGCCCACTCCTCCACAGCCTCTGGTGGATGCATTGTATAGATCTTTACACTTCACTTGGAAGCCTTCTGTCTTTACAGAGGGGCTGCACTTTCCCCTGCTCTCTTTCCTTCTGAACATAGGAAACAATATCCACTGGTCTTTTAGGCCTAGGTGAAATGTTTCATTGTTGCATAAAATTCCTCAGTCATTAAAAGATTTGATCTAAGTTGGCATTAGCTCTTGCTTCACACTTGCCTATAATCAAGGAGGTTGAACCTAAATTTGGAAGGAGAAGCCCTGAAGTATGTTTGGCTGAACAGGCTCTCCTGGTATGGAGGATGGGAGTTGAGGATGCATTGTGATTGACTTATGTTTCTATTCATAAATCAAGCTTTGCAAAGCAGATACCAGTGTTGTAGTGTTTCTTTTTATGTCTCTCAGGAAGTTTAAGGGAATTCTTGTCTCTTTCTTACCAACCATAGTAAATATGTGGTTGAAGTACAGGGTCCCATGTCTGTGTTTAAAGAACTGTAGATGAAAGATTTTAGCATAAATCATAAGAAAAACACAACTGAAAGAGAAGTATTTGTGGTGTCACATATTAGCATTGTTCATTGAGCGAGTCACAAAACTTCCTACACCAAGAAAAGAGATGTACCCTGAAAACAGTAGTGCTGTAGGGGAGCATGCTTAGAGACAGTGATCAGTGACAGTGAAATCCGTACTCAGCACCCCGTGCACTGGATAGGTCTTAGGAAGCTGCTTCTTTAAGCATTTATTGTTGGTCATCTGTTCTCCACCAAAATTTGCACTGAGTCCAGGCCCACTGGACTCAAGCTACATTTCATTAGTAAAGCTGGTCTATAAGTAGATCTCTCTCCTCCCTGCTCCAAGCCTGTTGCTGTTCACAGAATCACAGAATGGTAGGGGTTGGAAGGGACCTCTGAAGATCATCTGGTCCAACGCCACTGCCAAGGCAGGATCACCTGAGGCAGGTTGCACAGGAATGCATCCAGTTGGGTTTTGAAGGTTTCCAGAGAAGGAGACTCCACAGCCTCTCTAGGTAGCCTGTTCCAGGGCTTCATCACCCTCACAGTGAAGAAGTTTTTCCTCATGTTGAGGTGGAACATCCTGTGCTGCAGTTTATGCCCATTGCCCCTCGTCCTGTCACTGGGCACTACTGAAAAGAGACTGGCTCCATCCTCCTGACAGCCACCCTTCAGATATTTATAGACATTGATATGGGCCCCTTTCAGCCTTCTCTTCTCCAGACTAAACAGCGCCAGGGTCCTCAGCCTTTCCTCATACAAGAGATGTTCCAGTCCCTTAATCATTCTCATAGCCCTCCCTTGGACTCTCTCCGAAAGTTCCCTGTCTCTCTTGAACTGGGGGAGCCCAGAACTGGACACAATACTCCAGCGCAGAGTTGAGGGGGAGGATAACCTCTCTCGACCTGCTGGTCACACTCTTCCTGATGCACCCCAGGGCACCAGTGGCCCTCTTGGCCACCAGGGCACATTGCTGTCCCATGGATAACTTACTGTCTACCAGGACTCCAAGGTCCTTCTCCATGGAGCTGCTTTCTATCTGCATCTCCTTTCATGTACGCAGCTAGTCACTCCATCATAGAAGGCTATCAGGTTGATCAAGCACAATCTCCCCTTGGTGAATCCATGCTGACTACTCCTGATAACTTTCTTTTCATTCATGTGCCTAGAAATGGCCTCCAGAAGGAGCTGTTCTATTGCCTTCCCAGGGATGGAGGTGAGACTGATCAATCTATAATTTCCCAGGTCAATTCTGTTCCTGCTGGAGTGGGGCTTGAAGAGCTCCCTGGGAACGCAGCCTCTCATCACTGCTCTAGTCCACAGCCACTAGCACTTCTGATGCTCTGCTTCTGTCTGCTGTCATTTACTGCTGTGTCACCCCTTGATTCCCATGGTCAGACTGGATCCGTTCAATTATCTTCCTGGGGTTTTTTTCACTTGCATGAGTATTTTTGTGATACTATTTTCATCTCCTCTGCTAGTCTTCAATTTGTTTTATTTTCACTTTATTTTACCTTGTTTACACCTGTGTTCATGAGGTGTGAATAAACAAGGAAAACTCATTCTCATAAATTTTTATCAGTGTGAATGAACATCTAAGTGATTAATAATTACCCTTTCTAATGCAGATGCTTACTTCTGTTCTTGTCCAGTTAATGTGTTTCTGATGCTACTTACATTGTACCTAGCAGCATTCAATAGAAGACAAATTTCAGTTGTAGACTGCTACATGTGGCAATGAACAGTGTATAGTCTTGTTTCAGTAAACTCTGTTATGGATCGTTGCTCACATTTTATTGTAAAATGCAGTATCTGTGTGCTGCATGAACACATTGTCTAAATGCTTTTACCAGGATGGTGATTTTGATTTCACAGCACTCTAGTTCCACAAAAACAGTTTATACAAGTGCTAAAAACAGTCAAAGCTCTTAGACTTTTTTTAGAATTTTTTTTTTCCTAGATGGCATTTCATTCTAGGTCTGCTTGTTAGTTTGTCTTAACTGTTGCTTTATAGATCGTTTATGTTTTAAAAAATGATTATGTAATATCGAAGTAATCTAGATTTGTATATAGAGCTGGGATTTACTGCTTCAAGCCCACTTGGTTTGTGTGACCCCACAGTGTGCAGTATACTAAGAATTTTGTCCATGCTGTAGAGAGCTGGCTAAACAGGAACTGGAAAGACCATCAGTAGATGGTGCAGGATTTGAGATTCCACAGGAATAAGGGGATTTTCTTATGTTACCATGATTTTATGTTGGAGTTTTGGCTTTTTTGGGGGGGGCAGGGGAGTGTATTTGGGTATTTGTGTTGGTTTTTTGTTTGTTTTGGTGTGTTTTTTTGGTCTTAAGGCAGTTCACTATCTTTGGGCTCAAGACATTCCTTGTGCTTTAACAGGGAGTCTGTTAGTAACCAGAGGGACTGGCTGACCCCGGTGTGGTGTGTCAGCATAGCCTGATGGAATTGTACAGGAGTGTATATTCATTGCAGGCTTTTCCAAGAACTGGCATACTAAGTACTGGGTGTTGATTCTTGTAACCTCGATGAAGCCCAGGTAAACTGGCTACAGTGTTTGGATCTTACATATCAGATCTGCTTTTAGATTTCTTGTTTACTAGTAACTCACCCTTCTCTGTCATTCCCCGTAGGAACAGACACTATCTGTTACCCCTTCAGAGATACAGGATATACTGCCCAGCTGCACTGAGTTTCTGGAATCTGTTTTGAACCTCAGATTCCCCTGTGGTTTCAATGCCAGGGCTCTAGTCTTATGAATACTTTGAACTTAAGTTCATCTGTCTGTCCCATAGCAGTGAAAACAGACAGACATATAGATATAGACCTTTAAAATCTTTAAAACAAAATTTTCTTAGGTAGCGTAGAGGATATAAGGATCAAGGGAAAAAACTCAGTGTTAAGTGTCCTATTCTCCAGTTAACATCTCCCCTCTGTACTGGCTTTCAGGCTTATATGAGAATCAAAATAGTGAAATCCAAATCTTTTGCCTGTACCTCAGCTGTTCTGCATAATATGGGATATTTCTCCATAGCTCTCTGCTCCTCTTCCACTGACATAATTTTTTTTACTTCTATTTCTGACTGGAATACTAACCAAGAGCAATGGAAGCCTTGCTCTGGCTACTTGTGGTTGAATCCCCTCATTCCTGCACCCCCCGTCTTGAGCATCTTGCCTGTAACTTTTAAGAGTCAACTTCCACAGTAATTTCTTTTTCTACTTTTTAGGAATTTCCTGTTCTCCAAACCTCATCCCCTTAAGATGAACTTGTTCTTGCATTTTTCCCCTAATTCTCTGCTACATTATTGTTCTTAGAGGTTCCACCTGAAGGTTTGCAGCCTTCCATCCTACTGGGTGTTCAGGCTGTCAGGCCTAGCTCAGAGAGCAAATACAGAACTGCTGCTTCACCAGAGTTATTCCTGACACAGTGATTTCAAGACCTCAAGCAGATTTCATAAATACTGCCTCCTAATTACTGTAATACTGTAATTTCCTGAGTAGGGTCTTTATATGAATAGTAAAATTTACTTATGCCATGAGAAAATGATCCTTATTTGGAATATATTGATTTTGTCTGTCCAAATGTATGTGTAATTTCAAGATTTATTTTAAATCCTATATAAGAATAAAATTTGGTTTAAGATTATTAATTTTTTTTGCACTTTTCCCCTCCCTCTGTCATTTCAGATGTTGCAGTTGTGGACATGAGTGATATTTCCAAGCAACCATCACTGTTCTACCACCTTGGCGTCCGTGAAAGCTTTGACATGGCTAATAATGTTATACTCTACCATGACACTGATGCTGATACTGCTCAGTCTCTCAAAGTAAGGTTCGCACTTAAAAATCTGCTTCATTTCAGAAATATCTTTAAATACCTGATTCTGCAGACATTTGTGTTTGTCTGAAACTTCCATTCAATGTGATTTCCTGATAGCTACATAACAAAATCATGTTAAGAAAAACAGCTGCTAGCAAAAATAGTAATGATTTAGAATAGTATGAAAGTTTGTTTATAAGAGAAGATCCATAGTATGGTACTGATTTTGCTTCAGGTGATTAGACTTGGAAGTGAGAGTGCAGGTCTGATCTTTTCCTTCCTTTCCCTCTTTTAATTAGAGTACACATAAAAAAAAAGTTACGGCCTGTGTGATAATGACACTTGAACAAGGGCTGTATTGCAACCTACTCCGACTGTTGAAGCACTTCTGTCAGATGAGGTTTGTATCTTCTTGGTGCTGACTAGCTAAGACTGCAGGAATCTCCTTTTTATTACTGTTTGAAGACAAAGACATCCTCACAAAACGTTTTTATAGGCCTTAAGTCTAATCACTTTTGTTCTGAGGTATTTTATTGGGCTTAAGAAGTTTAAGTTAATCAGTAATTCTGTTTAGGTTTTGGTACCTTAATACGTGTTTTTGACCATCTGCTGGTGTTTCTTTATTCTCAGGTTTATGACTAATTCAGTCAGTTTTTTTCCCTCTTCCCTTCAGAAATGTATTACTTTACTTGGATCCAGGTTGCTGTGTGTGGCTAATAAGAGTGGCTAGCCCAAGTGTTATAAAGCCAGTATTCATGACTGCTATTACTTCTACTGGGAAGATCTGTGAAGTCCAGGGAGCCTGACTTTATATAGCTTATTTCTTGGGACAATTTCAGGATGGTTCCTAAGAATTGTCTCTTCAGTTTCACCAATGTTCTTTCCAAAATAACCTAGTTCCAGGCATCTAAAAAAATATATAATCCAGATTTCAAGAGGGTTGTATTTGCAGAACTAAACCTCTTACATGGCCCCTGATATTTTGTCTGTTGTTGAGCAAAAAGGTGCATGGGCATGATAATTTCTGTGCAGTGGATGCCCAAGTGGATTTCAGGCTGTCAGATGTGAAGTTGCTCAAGCAAAATCATCTTAGGCTGTCAGAGCACATACAATTAAATCATATCAATTACCTTGCTTAGAAACAGGTCTATATCTAACATTTGTAGTGTGGTTTAGCCGGAGATCTCTTTAGTTTCACCAAGCAGTGTTCACTGGACATGTAAGCCACCACTAGAAGGGGGAGGAGGTTACTTACCAGCAACTGGAAGTCTTTGAGGTCTGGTTTACATGCCCATTAGTTTATCATCTGCCTCATAGTTTTAAGATCTCTCTAGATTTTGAGGTGAGAAAAATTACGATGTAGTAGGAGTGTGTTGATCTGTGCCCAACCAAGTAGGAAAGGGGCCTAAGTACCTTAAGGATACCCTTTCAGAGAAAAAAAATCTCCAGCTTTGAATGATTTTATCTCACAAATGCCCGGAGTGTGACTGGGTATGTGGAGTGCCCAGTTTGAGAAACTTCAGTTACTGGCAAGTACAACTTTCTTCATCTTCTGATCACTTCTTTAAATAGGTTTCTTCTTTGAACTGTTATTTTTTTCCTAACCTGAACTACTAAGGCTTTCCTCGATGTTGTTCTGTCTCTTTACTTTGAATTTGCTGAGGCAAGAAATAGGGATTACGCTGTGAAGAATACATCTGTGTTTGTTTGTGTGTATATATACAGACCAGTTATTTTTATGGAAAATAACAAATCTAAATAAAAATGAATAAATGTTTTTATTATCTTTCTTTTTTTTCTCCCCAGGATATGGTATCTCAGAAAAACACAGTAAGTATTAAGTCCATGTTCATTTTAAAACACAAAATGAAGATACTACATTTGAAGCAACTCTAATAACAAAGCTGCCAAGCTTATACATGCTCTATATGATTGAAGGAAGTTTGTTTTACTTATATACAATTCAAACTAGGGGAAAACCTGCTGACTTCCTTTCTAAAGTAAAGCTAGATTAAAAAATTACTTTTCTTTAGAAGTTCCTTTTTAAGTTCTAGAAAAGTGCCAGTAGTTATATATGTAGGCTGATAGATCAAAATGTAAACTCAGAAATTCAAAGTCTCTTTCTGCCTCTACCACTTTCACCCACTTGTGCAAATGTGTATGTGCGTGTGATGCCTTAACACAGTTTAGCCTTGTATCTCAAACAGCTTTGGTTACTGTATACCTATCCTCTTCCTCACAAATTTTTACTTAGGAATGCAAAAGCTTATTTCCCAAAGTAAAAATATTCTTGCCCTTAATGCAAGTAAAACCAAACAAGTAAGTAAGCCTGAACCAAGATAAAGTTTAGTGGGTTTTTTAGGCTTATTGCAATATGCTATGGTATCTTAGACGGTTACATATTTTGTCATACTTCGCATCATGTATTAAACACTCCACATTGTTATTTCAAGGACTATTGAATTTGCAAGAATCTTAGTGCTGTTTATTCCTTTCTGTTTTGTCCCATTCTCATATACTTTTATTTTCTTCTGAAAGGACTAAAATAATAAAATGTTCTTAGAGTTTGTTAATAATTTAAAGGAGAACTAGAAGAAATAATGCTGTTGTAACAGCAGTTTATTTTGAGCTGCTGTTTATACTTGGTCACAGCGCTGTATGTAGGCTAAAGATAGGTCAGGTTGAGCACATGAGTAAATCCAGGTCATTTTCCTGTCTGTCTTGGCGATCTTTGAACTAGTTTCACCTGCGGGGTGTGAACTGCATTTACTGGTCTGTGCTTCTGTGAAGGGGGACCTCAGAATGAGGCATATTTGCTTGTGAATGTTACTGTCCATCACTGGTGTATGATCAAAATGTCACAAGCATGTGTTTTCCTCTCCAAGCAAGAGGAAGAATTGTGACTGAGCCATTTGGTGGTAATTCCAGAAATGGAGTAAAAGCAAAGAGGACGGTCGCAAGTTCAGCCTAGCACGATCAGATTAGCCTGCAGTCTTTTCTTTTGGCAGATTCTTTCTCCCACAGAGGCAGGTATTTACCTTCATGTGAAAGAGGAGAAAACATGGATCTGGTGACGTGGTTTCTACAGCAGGGCCTGGTATTAGACCTGTAAACACCACGTGGCTAGGAAAAGTAGCAGAGGTGAGATCCTGAAACTAGGATCCTGATCCCTCCTTTAAAAAGAAAGGATTACCTAACCCCTTTTCTTCAAGTGCTTAAATTAAGAAAACAATTGTGATTAAAATACAATGAGGAAAAACTAAATGACTTTAACTACCAAGTATGGATTCTTGACCCTTCTGTGTTATTTGAAGTTGCTCATATTCTTCTCTGTTAGACAAATGTGCTCCCATATTGCATTCTTTTATCAGTTTTTTAATTAGAAATTATAACAAACCAATTAGCAAGCCAAATACTGTGTTAAAACTTTATGTTTTTCTAAGTTGGACAGCTAGACAATTGCTTTCCCCTTCTTTCAGATCCAATGAGTTGTTATAAGAGGCTTGTAGTTTGCTGCTGCCCCAGTATGGTGTCACTGCTTCATTGCTTGGTTAAATATTTTACAGCCATATGGGCAATGTCTTGCTTGAAGTTCATTGCTAATGAGGGTTGCTGTGCTAGTTAAATAGGTACAGGATTGGTGTGTATTTACTGTGTCCGGTCAAGTACGTAGTTACATAACCATTTCAGTTTAAATGCTGAATATTAGACACAATAGTTAATGTCCCTGTACTAGGGTTTTGTATTTTCCTTTCACTTTTCCTGATTGAAGAGTGTGGGTATGCCTCTGCCATAGCTGTGGAATAGCAGAAAAAAGCTTAAATGCACTCTTTGTTGGGGTCTGGAGACATGTTGGAAAGAGAAAAACTTGATCTACTAAGCCTTCCTCCAGCCCAGAGGTAGCCACAGGAATACCATTGCTGGTTTTATGAATAGAAGTCCTCTGTGTCTTATAAGCTCTGCGTCCACACATCTGCACCATGTATATTGCTACCAGGCACAGCACACCATTTTCCCAGCAGCACAAGTGAAACTTTCTGTGTTGGCTGCCATAGTTCGGAGCTTTCTCTGAGGTTTCCCTGCCCTCACCTTTGCTATTTATCCTGCAAATCTCAAGTCATGTACAAAGGTACAAAAAAAATCATAGCATAGAACAGATGTGGAACCATGTTAAAGATGCAGTAAAGATGAATGTCTACTGTGTCGTCTGGGCTGATTTCTTTTGTGTATTACAAGTAATTCTTGAAGAAAATAGATGTTTTCCGTGTAAGGATAATATTATAATTCAGCATCAAGGAGGAGGCAAGAGTGAGGAAACTGGACATACAGCTGAAAACAATGCATAGAAAAAAGGTTAGCAATTCATTTGAGAATTGGCCTGAGTACAGCTGATCTAACAGTGAAAATTGTACAGCATCATACTGCAGTGGTGTGAATCTGAGAGATTTAATAGCTTACTGTCTGAAAAAAGAACTTAAGAGTAGAAGAACTTCCCTCCACCATTCAGGAACAAAGTTTTCAGGGATAAGATAAGTTGGGCAATGTGATTCAGTTCTACTTGACTCCCCCAAACAAGCAATTAAAATTCTCTATTGATAATTTATTGCATACTTGGATACAAAAGGAAAGAATTAATGGCTTTGGGAGTTCAGTTCTCAAGAAAGAATTGCCTTGGCATGAAATTCAAGGTCAAAATTCTGTGTCCCATCGGTTAGGTTTCCTTCTGCAGACCCCCTCTGAGCTTTGAGGACTACCTTATGCTAATTTTACTTAGGGTGTATGCACCGCTTCCTAGTTTCTGTCAAAATTATGATTGATAAAATAAATTGCAAATACGCAGTCTTGCAGAACAGTTTGTTTCCTGTGTCATTATGGAAAAATCAAGGTTTGAGAGCACAGTGGATGCTACTGGACTGTAGGGTATAGGAGAATAAATTTACCCGTGGAAAATGGGTGTGTGCTTTGGAGTTTCTTTAGATGTGAGATAAACATTGGTTTACTGGAGAAATTAAATTTCAAGGATTTTCAAAAGCAAAAAATGCTTAAAAAAATAATCTTCCCCCAAACCAATGTAATGGACAAAATCCATGGGAAAGTTGTTCTATTTTGGTGCAACAGTTTGTTGCTATCCTTGATTTTTAAATTTTTTTTTCCAACAGGGAAATTTCCTCTTCCTCTACAGAATTTTAAGGAATGGTGCATAATAAAA